TACACCTCTATTGCACTACATGATTATATATGCAACATATATTATTTATATAGTACATACATTCATATTAATATAAAAGTATATGTATAAACATAATTATTTTATTAAACATAATTTATGTAAAATAAACTATTTACTAGCAAAATAAAAAAAAGACCACTTTTGGCGACTAAAAATATATATTTTTTAGTCGCAAATTCTATATTTTTGGCTACTAATTGTTTTTTAGTTGCTAAAAAACTTAACTTTTGCTGACCAAAATCGGATTTGGTCGCCGAAAATGCACTTTCATCTACCAAAATTTTGGTCGCCAAAAAATTTAATTCCCGCCTTAAGATTTTAGTTCTCCTGCGCTAAAAATGACCACTTTTGGCGACTAAACTTATTTTTCAGTCGCCAATTGTAGACTTTTGGCTACTAAAATTTTTTTTGGCACCAAAAAGCTTTACTTTTGGTTACTAAAATTTTTTTAGTCGGCAAAACCCATATAATGAGCGACCAAACTTATTTTTAGTTGTAGACTTTTGGCTACTAAATTTTTTTAGTCCCCAAAATTTTTACTTTGGGCTACTAAAAATTTTTTAGTCACTAAAACCCATATAATCAACGACCAAACTTACTTTTTGTCGCCAATTGTAGACTTTTGGCTATTAAAATTGTTTAGTCGCCAAAAAGTTTTACTTTTGGCAACTAATGCTGTTTTGGTCACTGAAAGCTATACTTTCAGCGACCAAATTTTTTTTGGTCAGGAAATTTTGTCACCGAATGTGCTTTTTCCTGTTGCGTATATTGAGTTTTATTTATTTATTTTTAATCATTTACTGCATTTTAAAAACTTAGAAAATATATTGGCATTTTTTATTTTTTCAAAAATGCCATTATAAGCTTGGAAAGTTTTTAGTTTAATGGCATTTCTCAAAATGCTATAAAATATTTGTTTATGACACTTTTCACCTAAGTGCCATAAAAAGTAATTTGCACCTACCTAGTGTCCTGACATTTTTTTAAAAATGCTATTGCGACTAGAGTTTAGTGGCATCTGTTGGTAAATGTCACGAACATAATTTTTTGTGTCATTATTTTATAAAATGTCATAAAATTGATGTGACATTTCTTTATTGAAATGCCACTTTTATATTTGTGATTATGTGGCATTTTTCTAAAACATTTAATGCCAATTTTTATTTTTGTGGCATTTTCTAAAAACAAGCCACTAGTGTAGTGTCACTAAAGTATAAATTTGTTGTAGTGACATTTTTGTTATAGTGAAGTGACACTTTTTTTAATTGAAATGCCACTAGACCCTTTTATGTTTGTGGCTCTATGATATTTTTTAAAAAAATGCCACCAAATATTCTTTTTGTGACATTTTTTAAGAACATGCCACTAGTATGATGTCACTAAAATGTGTTTTTGTTGTAGTGTTGGTTATCAAAATTTCACTAATTAACTGAAATTTCACTGATTTAGACTTAGTTATCAAAATTTCACTAATCAACCAAAATATCACTCACCTGTCTTAGGTCATTGAAATCTTGTCAACATTTTCTTTTAAAAGAATTTTGCATTCATCGTGGAGCTTATTTTATAGATCTTGATGAAACGATTTAAAATATACAAATTTTATAAAATAAAATAATAAAAATAACAAAAAAAACCCCAAAGATTTAGATCAAAAGTTATAGAATTTTAAAATTTTCAAATGAGTTAAAAAAAAGTTATATAATTTGTCACCATGTGTTTTGGATGATCTAAATTAATATTGAAAATTATATTATTCTTATCTTTCTAGAAAAAATATTATCAGAGATCTTAAACGAAAAATTCCAACTTCAAAAGATGAAATGAACCTAGTTTATTAATAGAAAATTTTAAGGGCCCATAATATCATACAATGCTTTCGAAAAGGTGAGACTCATTAACACGTTACTCCTACATCTTGTGGAAATATTATATTTAATTTTATAATTGAGTTTTGTGTTCATAGAAGAACTATTATTAATATGATAAAAATTCATTTATATGATAAATATTATATATCTATACTATTATTAAAAGTGAACAACTCACTTAGTTTTCATGAATCTCGTTCTTACCTTTTGTTAAGTATCAATTTTTTCATTTAAAAAAAAATTGATAGTTACAAGAGTGACATAATATTTAAACCTATGACTATCGATATAATAAAGAACACTTAGATATATTTTTAATTCAAAATTAAAATTTATATTTTAAGCACACTTATCAATAGGTTACACTCCTAATATATATATATATATATATTCATTTAAATTACACTCACAAAAGTAATATTTAAATTCCATATGGTGGCGTTTATCCTTGTCCTTATCGTCCACCAGATCAATTTCTTAGGAGTATTTTGAAAAATTGATAAAAAATTGACTTTTTAACTTTTTAATTTTTTTAATGATATTTTTTACTAAAAAAGTTAAAAAATCAAAAAAAATTAACTTTTTTAACTTGTTACCAAAAGATTTAGTCTTACAAATATCATGTGATTAAATGCTCTCCCTGCCCAAAATAAGAGTGCCTTTTAAGAAATTTTTAACATTTGTTTTTTGATAGCACAATTATTGTATTTCAAATATTTAAAATTTCCAAAAGTATCATTTGATTTAAAATTAAAATAATATTTTTTTGAAGAATATCAATTGTCATAATTATAAAAAAAAATTTAAAAAAGATAACATAAAAAATTCGTATTATTTTATTTCTTAGTTTTAGAAAAAAAAATAACTAATATTTTCAGAGAATAAAAAATAGAATTAAAAAAATGACTAAAAAACTCAACTCGTAATTTTACATTTAAATCAAAATTTCACATTCAAATTATAATTTTAAAATTAAACCAAACAAAGCCTAATATTTTAGGACGGAATGAATAAAAATGAATAAATTTATTCAGTGTGTTTGATTTGAGTTTTTTGAATTAAGTTTTTTGAAAATTGAGTTTTTTGGTTTTCATATTTTTTTGTTTTTAGTGAATATTTTTAAAATTTTAAATATTTTTTTTATTTTTTTAGAGGCACCTTACTTAGATGTATCTAAAAAGTAAAAAATTTATGAAAAAATATTTTTAAAAATTAATAAATACATAAAAATATAAAAAATGTACTGAATTCTCGTATTTTTTTTTATATTTTTGGTATTTATGAATTTTTAAAAGATTTTTTTCAAATTTTTTTTTTACTTTTTAGGTATATTTATAGGAAAAAGTTGGCCTTTGGCCGCATTCAAAGCTTCAACACAAAACACACGTCACAAGAAAATAATAATAACACAACCAGACAAAAACCTCCTTTTTGTGTGTGTCAACTTTTGTTATTTGTCAAACACTCCAAAAAGTCTGACACACTACTACCCCACCCTCTTTCTGTCCTCGCTCCCTTGTTTGTTTGGTTTGTGGCCACCATCATCTCTCTTGTTTGGTTGGTTTGTGGCCACCATCAGCACTACTACGGGGCCATTAATTAGTATGAAAAATGTTATGAATTCAAAATTATTTATTAAATTTTTTATATAATAAATTTATATGTGTGTAAATTTTACATTCATATAAAAAATTTGATAAAAAATTTAATAGATTATTTAGAATTTTTAATATTACTCAATTAGGGCTGGTTTGACATCCATGAAAAAAGACAAAAAATTAAATAGTTACTAAAAAAAAAGTTAAAAAGAATCGCTATTCACAAAAAAAATATAAAAATTTTTTTTAAAAAAAGGTACAAGTTACGTTTTGGCATGGCAATGATGTGTTGTCTGGTGCTGTCAGAACATATAAATATTATTGGAACGATGTGCTGTCAGAACATATATGTATATAGATTGAGCTGTCACGGGTACTCTTGGACCAGTATGAACCCACCACGGGTCCTGTTTTGATCATCATAATCGTTCAATATGTAAAACCCGTCGAGTACTATATGCTAGTAAAAAAATTACGTTGATTAGATATCGATAACTATATGATCAAATCATTTTTGTATAAAAAAAATGACGGTGCACAAAGTAACGGTTAACAAAAAAAATAATCCGATTAGATAGCTATCAACATCCGATCAACGTGGTTTTCTATATTCATATAGTACTCGACGAGTTCTACACATTGAACGATTTAAATTATCAAAACGGGACTCGTGGTGGGCCCCCACGGGCCGAGCAACATCGCCCAGTCTGAACAGCACCGTAGGCAATCTGGTCCTAGCTACCGTATGCAAGACGGTACCATCACTGTCAGTAGGCGTTTATATATGTAGGGGTACTATAGTAATTTTGTTATTTTATACAATATTTTAATACACATTTTTTTTAAAAAAGTCAAAAAGTTATCCCAAACAACCATACTTTTTTCCTCTACTTTTTAATTCAAAAAATCAAAAAATGTACTTATTTAGAATATCCCAAACAACCTTGTGTTAAGAGATCTTGATGTGATTAGAAGATTGTTTTGATAACTAATTATTTTAGGAGAAAGTTATTAATAAATTCAATCAAGGAGTGTATAAGAGATTAATCAAAACAACTTACAAATGTTTAATCGAAGTAACTGCAAGGAAAAATACATAACCGGTTTGAATAGCAGAGATAGGTGTTGGTTCTCACTCAGAGTAACTCTCACACTTTTCTAACTCCGTTTTTTCTTAACCCTGTTCTACAAATGATTTTAACATTACAATTTATAGAAAAGAAAATTAACTATGCAGCATGTGACTTGAGTTGATCAGGAGAGCAGCTGGCAACATATGGGCAAAAGTAGGCTGTCTGGTGCTTTCGGCTGATTGACAAAAGTTGAAGCAGCTTTTAGCAGATTGATTGAGTGATAAACAGTAAAAGTGAATAGTGACTTTTTACTATTCATTACTTTTGGTGGAAACATTTTAATAAGGGAATCAATATAAATACAAATTGCCAGCTTTTCTCAAAAGAGTATTGATTGAAACTAATTTGTATCTATATGGAATCCAATGCAGGGCTGACTAGGCATATGGGTCCTGAGCATCTTGGAACTCGAGTCCATGTGGGTTTTGAGTAATTGAACTAGTGGTTGAACCTTTAGAAGAATGTGAACTGTCTGAACCTTCTTCTGAATTGTGGTTAGCCGAATTGTTGTTATCCGAATTATCTGAATCTGACTGGGCTTCAGCCTGATCAACAAGCAAACGGGCCATCTTGAGAAGCTCATCGCTGGATGACTTGGGTTTAACCTTGGGCTTAGCAGGAGTTGAAGATTTAACCTTGGACTTCGCTTTAGCAGATGTGGGCTTTGCTTTATCCTTTGATTTGGGCTGAGTAGAGCTGGGCTTAGCAGTTGTGGATTGAATCTTTAATTTGGATGGCTTGGGCTTGGAAGAACTTGAAGTTGGGCTTCCAAGGTTAACAGTAGGAAGTGAGCTTCCTTGGGTAATTGAAGCAGCTGGGTTCTGCTGAGCTTTAACCATGGCAGGTGTAGGAGCATGAATGTTAAGCGAGAACTCAGTTTGAACAAGTTCAACAATGCGGGAAATTTTGTAATTATCCCACCATTTAACCAAATGTATCCTTTGAATCACATCATTAGAAATGGCATAGTGCCATTTAAATATCCAAGAGATCTTATATTTGGATATAAAAATGAGCAATTTAGGGAATTTCTTCTGTTGTGGAGTGAATGAGAAAACAGTTGAAAAATAGTTAGCCAGTTTCAGCACGATATCTGAGAAGATATCTGAAATGGCGCCATAATGAGTCCACCATCACAGAAACCAAGTAGGAAATTTAGATTTAAACTTTTGATCAAACTGAATGAACCAGGAATGACTAAAGGTTTCAGTCTAATACAGAAATATTTTGAACCAGGCATCAATATAGTCATAATAACTATACTAAAGAGATTTATTAGGCAATTCTCGAAGCTGATAAGGAGAACCCTATTCAGCCAAGGAAACAATGTTATGAATATAAAGAGAATGGTAAACAACTTTACTAGTATAAATTCGTTCATAAATAAGTTTAATCACAATGGATTGATGGTTAAACAAAATGTCTTTATAGAAGGTGATTGTTTTTTCTGGATGCATAGGAACAAAATGACATCCGTGAGGAAAATAAGATTTAACCAGGTCATTAACAGACTAACTCTTTGGGTGACTAGGTTCTTTGAAGAATAGGTTAGTAGTGGTTGATTTAACATAATCAGAACGGGCATTTTTAATTGGACTAGGAGGGTATGGAGTAACTGCTTGGCTGGATGAAACAAAGGGATCAGAAGCCAAAGCAGATATGTAGCTTGGTTTAGAAATGTTACCAAGGACTTTGTCACGACCCCAAACCGCCCCTAGTAGTTTGGTGCCGTGATGGCCAGTAACCCGAGATTATCGAGGGCCAACTTTCAAAATTCACACACAATCAGAGTATAAATATATGGCGCTCACAAGTGCGGAAGCAATAATCTAAAATACAAGTGGTCCATAAGAGCAGTGCATAAGTCAAATGGAATGGCATACAACTTTACATAGCTTTACAACTTGAATAAAAATAAAATGAAGTACAAAAAAATACATATTACATCTTAACAGAAGACTTCTCAAGCCGACATAAACATAATACATGGAATACAAGTCAAGAGACATAATCTTCCAGGTTGCCGACATCCTCACTGCCGACATAACATACATACAAAGCACACATCTCGGCGTAGCCGACTTCTTGCTTGTTACCTACATATATACATAGGGAGGGTGAGCTTGGATACTCAGTGAATGGTGTAAATAATAAAGGTTTAAATGAATGATTCCCGAGGCCCTTGTCAAAACAATACATATATCATAGCTTGTTCAAAACACGGGATGAATCAAGTTCATCAATCAAATCTTTGCCTTTCAAATCTTCTTGGGATGTTTAATAACATCTACATAATATATGGGGTGACATTAACAAGGTTCTGCCACAAATGCTTATAGTCCCTTGGCACGTACGAACCTTCAAGAATGTACCACAAGTGCTTATAGTCCCTTGGCACGTACGAACTTTCAAGAATGTGCCACAAGTGCTTATAGTCCCCTGGCACGTACGAACTTTCAAGAATGTGCCACAAGTGCTTATAGTCCCCTGGCACGTACGGACTTTCAAGAATGTCATCAAAACAAAGCTTATTTGATACACAAAAATAGGGGTAATCATTCATGCTTAATCAAATGCTTTCATCAAAAACGAAACAAGGCTTTATCAAATCTTTATAACATAACTTTATTAAAAATACCACTCACATAGTTCTCGGGATGTCGGGATCAAGGCAAAGGTCGAAGTCCTACAAACACATGGCAGAGCATACTGAATGCACTTCTCAAAACAAGTCTTACATGCTTGCAAATGATCTCGGAAAAACATGCTGGAAGTCAAAACACTGTTTTACATGCCAAGAAGACATGCTAGGTACCAACCAGGTCCTTGCCGAGGTCCCACACCTCCTGGCTGAGGTGTGGCTACCTAGGCTTCGGCATGCGGCTGCACGCCGAGGTGCGCACAAGACAAACTAAAGGTGTAATTGATCATGCAAGGTAGGCCAAGGTGAGATACGATGCTTAGCCTAAGTGTGAGGTCTAGGTAAGAGTGATCTCGGCGAATACACCTCGGGAAGTGAGGTCTGGAGATCTGGGTTTCCACCCGTGAAGAACAGGAAGAACATGAACATGAAGATCATGAAAAACATGAATGCTAAAATCATAACTTCTTTATTACAAAATCTGGGTTTTTCATGCTATGAAT